GTTATTGTTGCTTCATATTTATATATGCTTGTACAGGTTGTTTATGTACGTGTCTTGTCATAGCCTCGTCACTACTTCGTCGAGGTTAGGCTCGACATTTACGGAGTACATGGGGTCGGTTGTACTCATACTACACTCTGCACTTCTTGTGCAGAATTTGGAGTTGGTCTCAGTGGCGTACCATAGACTTGCTCGGATACAGCTATCCAGAGGAGACTTCAGGTATAACTGCACAGCGTTCGTAGTTCTGAAGTCCCCTTCTATGTTATCTTAGTTGTGTATTATCTTTCAAACAGCTTGAATTTTATTCAGACCTTTATTTGTATAATTCTAGTAGCTCGCGCACTTGTGACACCAGGTTTGGGGATGTATTTTTATGATTCAATAGTAAAGGTCTTCTGCACTTTATTTCAGTAATTAACTTCCATTTAATTTAATTTATTTTTAAAAAAATGGTTAAGATTATTCTAACGTTGGCTTACCTAGCAAGTGAAATGTTATGCGCCATCACGGTCCCGAAGGTGGAAATTTTGGGTCGTAACAAGTTGGTATCAGAGCACTAGGTTACTTAGGTCTCACAAGCCCCGAGCAAGCTTATTAGAGTATGAAAGATCGGTACAGAGACATTTTTACTTATCTTTCAGAGGCTACGAAGTTTAGGAATAATATCACTTCTTTCTTATTCTGTAGTGCGATTTTATTCTATCACCGATGATTGAACCATTCTATTCTTATTCTCTCGCATATGGTAAGAACACGTAATACGTCTACCGACGGACAAGGACCAGAGCCNTTCTTATCCTCTCGTAGATGGTGAGAACACTCACTGCGTCTACAGTCGGACAGGAGCTAGAGCCCCCAGTGACAGCTACGACTAGGGGTAGAGGTCGAAGCCGAGGTCGTGCCAAAGGCCGAGGTAGAGGCAGAGGTAGAGCTCACTCTAGAGCTCGAGCAGCAACACTTGTTGTAGAACCTCGGGTGGATTTGGGAGCGGAGGTTCCAGTTCAGACTGTACCCGTTGGACCATTTCAGGTTCCGGAAGGATTCATAGCGACTCTAGTGCTTCCGGAAGCTCTAGTCCATTTGGCGAGCCTAATGGAGGGTGTGGCCCATAATGGTACATTTCCAGTAGCACCAGCCGTCTCACAGGCTGGGGGAGGGGCACAGACTCCCACTACTCCCGCTCTGGAGCAGATGGCTCCCCAGTATCAGACTCCAGCAGCCCCGCCAGTTGGGGTAGTTCAGCCACTTGTTGCGGCACATGCCGGTGATAGGCCTGCCATGTCATCTGAAGCTTTTATTGAGGTTGGATAAGTTTACTAAGCTCTTTCCAGTTCACTTCAGTGGTACACCTTATGAGGACTTACAAGATTATTCAGACCAGATTCGGTGATGCATTTTAATGATTCGGTAGTTAAGGTCTTCCGCACTTTATTTCAGTAATTGACTTCCATTTAATTTAATTTGTTTTAAAAAAATGGTTAAGATTATTTTAACGTTGGCTTGCCTAGCAAGTGAAATGTTAGGCGCAATCACGGTCCCGAAGATGGGAATTTCTGGTCGTGATGATATATATATATGTTCGGATGCCATGCACACTGATTGATCTCGAAAGGGGATTCCGCTCCTACCGCTAAAGCATTGTGTGTGTGTGTGTGTGTATATATATATATAGTACATCTTTCATACTAACAACCGGTTTCTGGGGCACTGTGTTTCATGCCCACAGGTACATATAGAGATTCATACGATACCTCGCAGTAGGTGACTCGACTCAGTTGAAGGTTGTCACGCTCCCTTCTTTCAGAGTTTTTTAGTGAGTTGATAGGTATAGTGGTTGTATGTATATACATAGTTGGGTATGTTGGGGTTTTNATATATATATATAAGCTTGGCATTTATTAGCTTTATATATTGGCATTTATTAGCTTGTCACTTAGCTTAACCACAATGCGAATTATATATGGTAACTTTATTCCTTTAATATATACTAGTCTTAGTGTACGCATGTTGTACGTGTGCTTAGCGTCAATCAATAAAATAAGTGTACAAAACGAACATGTAAATTAAGTTTTAAAATATGTGCCTAGCGTCAATAAGTAAAGAACATGCAAAGAGTTTTAAAATGACTATATTAAGGTAATATTTTACAATAAATAACTTAGACTGCCTCTCCACTTTACTCTTCGCGAACGCGACACATGACTCACGAACGCGATGCTTTACTAGTTCAGACCTTCGCGAAAACGACCACAACCTCGTGAACACGTAGAACAAGGACGTGGGGTCCCCAACTGCCCCACTCCTCTTCGCGAATGCGACACTGCTCCTGTGTTCGGATGCACACGCAAACCACACCTTCGCGTTCGCGTCCTCCCCTTGACAAACGCGAAGAACAAAATCTCATTACTTAGAAAACACTCTTCGCAAACGCGAGGGCCCACTCACGAATGCAAAAGAGGAAACCAGAAGAATGCAACAGCAGATATGAGCAATCTCACCAAGGCCAAAAATGATCTGTTAACCACCCGAAACTCACTTGAGGCCCTCGGGACCTCAACCAAACATATCAACGCGTACCATAACATCATACGAATTTAGTCGAACCTTCAAATCACCTTGAACAATACCAAAAACACGAATTACACACGAATTCAAGCCTAATAAACTTAAAATTTTTCGAATTCCACAAACGACGTCGAAACCTATCAAACCACGTCCGAATGACCTCAAATTTTGCACACAAGTCAGAAATGACACAATGAAGCTATTCCAATTTCCAGAATCGGATTTCGACCCCGGTATCAAAAAGTCAACACCCCGGTCAAACTTCCCAAAAATTCATCTTTCGCCATTTCAAGCCTAATTCCACTACAGACCTCCAAATAATTTTTCGGACACGCTCCTAAGTCCATAACCACCATACGGAGCTATTGACATCGTCAAAATTCCACTCCGGAGTCGTTTGCTCAAAAGTCAAATCTCCGGTCAACTCTTTTCATTTAAGCTTCAAAAATAAGAATTGTTCTTTTAATTAAATTCTGAATCTTCCGAAAAATCAAACTCGACCACACCCGCGGGTCATAATACATATTGCGAAACTGCTCGAGACCTTAAGTCACTGAACGGGATGTTAATTCTTAAAACGACAAGTCGGGTCGTTACATAATGTTAGCACATCCTAAGTTTTAGTTATTTAACTGTATGTCTATGTTATAGTTATTATTCAATAAGAATTCTATATTCAAAAGGAATTAAAAAAAAGGACTGTAAGAGATTCTTTATGTGCGCAGAACCATTAGTGTTATTAACTCTTACCAACCGAACTCTTTCTTTTATATTCTTAAAATTAAAATATTTTATTAGTTAAGCTTGATACTTAAATTTTAGAAAATTTGAAATTAATGAATTTTGAGATTACTCCCAATTATGGTTTATTAACCAAAATTTTAGTTGATTTTAAAATATTGGAGAAATAATTAAATAATAAAAATACTCATAAACCTTAGAAAAGAACGCCTAAAATTGGAAAAAAGGAAAGGAAAATAAGGACTCCTAAGCAAAGAAAAGAAAAACAAGGACTACTGAACTAATACTCGTAAACATTAAAAGAAGACACCTAAAACTGCTAAATCTAAATGGTTGATACGAAGGACCTCTGGAATTGGAAGGAAATTGAAAGTGCTGGATTTTTATATCAAAATTCTAAATATTAGAGAAATAATTATTTGATTATTCCAAATATTAAAAAAATAGTTAAATGATTATTTTTATATATTAAAAAAATAACTTAAATTATTATTTTGTCTAATGTGATTTTTTTTACAAGATAAAAAAGAGGAATCTTACCTCAACGCATAACAGATAGGAATATGTAACTTCTAAACTTTTGGAAAATTTCTTGGTAGAAATTTTGGGCATGTCATAAACGGTTCATAGTAAGTATAAATTGAAATAAGCAAAAAAGAACTAAAAACGTACTATAAAACAATACTCAGTTACTTAGTTTTCATACCATGTGTTGTCTTTGCTCCAAATATTCAAATTGAAGTAGCACCAGAGAAGGATCACTCTCAACTTCATCACCGACGAACTCATGGCAAATAAATCACTTGATGATAGGTACAACCAATATTACCTTTGTCCCAGAACACGAGAAAAATATAATATTGATTCACTTTCTCCTTATTCTAAAATCTAAATTAGGTTAATGAATGCATTAGCCAACCATAATAGTGTTCATGGAGAATAAAGAGTTTTTAACCTCTTTAATAGTGATATTATTAAATAGTAGTAATAAGTTTCATACCTATATTCTCGTATTCTTTTTTCCGTTTGAACCTGCATAATTTTGACTTCTCTTTCATAGGCATATTATATAATAAGTTTCCTATTATAATATCATATATAATATTTTTATTTCCTTTTCTTAACCGACGACAATCCCTCTTCGTATGGGATATCTACTTCTTTGGATAGTTTCCCGCTTATTTTCTTCTTCTTTTTCTTTTGTCCTACGATATTTTATTTTTTGCTATAAATTTTTTATTTGTATTTACATTTTTATCTCACTTAGAGTGTACTTAGCGAAAAGTAAAAATGACGAACGACATTTCGCTAAAGGCATTTGTGCTTTTAATATAATATAGATATAGATGTAAAAACTTTATCTATAAATTTAAAATTACCCTTTAATATATATATATATATATATATATATATATATATATATATATTTGACTAATATAGTCAAATATAGAATAAAGTTACTATATACTATTGATATTTATTAGCTTGTCACTTAGCTTAACCACAGTGCGAATTATATATAGTAACTTTATTCTTTTAATATATCTATCTAGACATAGATATATACTAATATATAGATTAATGGGCTGGGCGGCCCAAATTTTAATAACCCAAGAAAGGCCTGACATTGAGGGTATCATAGTCATTTCAGCATCTACACTTGATTCCAAATTCCAAACGATGGTGCAGAAAAACACATCTATTAACGCACGTCTCTCTCTCTTTCTAACACACACATCCTTTTCACTCGGGAGAGAGAGCACATGGTGTTTGTTTTGGCCGGCGTCGATTCGCAAGAATGATTTCTATTACCTCATCGGAGCTTAACTACCTCGTTTTCCGGTACCTTCAAGAATCAGGTACGTCCTTCTTAGGGTTCAATTTAATATTAATTGCTACCTTACAAGGGTGGCTCAATGGATTTGCTTTAGGCGCCCCGCAAATTTTTAATAGATTTTTCTGATGTTATTTTGACTTAGACAATATTGAAATTCGTAGACAAAATTAACTTGAATTACCCTTACCAATATAAATTCTATTATTACTATCAGTTTTTTGTTGTTGTGAACAAAAAAATACATAAATTATTTATTTGGCTTTAGGCTACTAATTTTGTTGAGCCACCATTGCTACCCCATAAATTATATTGCTTGTGTGCCTGTGTGTCTCTTTTTTTTTTATTGATAACTTTGTTGGATTTTGAACTTCTCGTTCAACTAGGTTTATAGGTTAGATTATAATTCTTGTGTGTCTGTGTGTCTCTTTTTTTTATTGATAACTTTGTTGGATTTTGAACTTCTCGTTCAACTAGGTTTATAGGTTTGTTACTTTTTGCCTGGTTTTGTTCTTGAACACTTGTTTGCACTCCCCTCCTTGCCAACTTGTTTGGCTTATGTTGCTTATGGAATGTTAATTTGAACAATTTTAGGAGTGAATGGGACTAGAGTAATTTATGTTTTTCTAATTAAATTTTTGCTATTAAGAAGCTATAGGGAAAGATCTATCCCTATGTGTGTTTTTGGCATGCCCTAGGTATTCCCAGCGGAAATAACATTATTTATCCCTGTGTTATTGTGTTATTCCAGTTTTGATCCCTATAATATTTGACTTAGCGCATTTAACCTTCAATTAAAAAAAGAGAGTGATTCTAGTCCCTCACTAACTGAAGCAAACGGTCTTTAACGGAAAATTTAATACTAGATAGGGTAATTTGGATATTATACATGCTACTTTTTGGCTTAGGGGGCTACTGTTTCCAATTTGATTGTATATAACGCATTCTTAGTTGTACAAAAATAATACTCCGGTTCACCATTCATTACAGACAGTCTGCAAGCTACATGAAAATCGAGTCTAGGTCATTAGTCATTGCAAGCCGTGAACCTGTACATAAATACCTATGAACCATACTTTTCTTTAAGTGTTCTTTCTGCTTGAATCAAAATGCACTGCTTAACTAAATTTGATGAAACCTCAAGAGGAAACTCATGGCTAATTTCTTATTAGAGTGCTTTTCACTTCGATTTTGTCAAATTTCGAGTTCTCTTCTCAATTTTTGTTCAATTCGAGCGAGGATTCATGTGGTTCTTTCCCTTTCAATATTCCTATACAGGCTTCGGTCAAGCTGATTTTCTTCTTGAATATGGGCATAAAATTCCGAAAAACCGAACTCCGAACCGGACCGAATTAATTCGGTATTTCAGTATCGGTTTATTTGGTATCTCGGTATAATTCAGTATCAATTTTTCGGTTATTCGGTATTTCGGTACGGTACTTGGTATTGAGGTTTCAATATTTCGGTACACCAAAATACCGAATTATTTAAGTATTCTTGTGTTTCCTAGTCCTACACTGCCAGTGGCGCTGCCCAAAATTTTAACTTTGTCTTTCTAGCCCAAAATTCCAACTTTGTTACCCCTAACCCAATAAGACTAAGCCAAAGTCCCTTATGGTTTTCTTACATTCTCAACAATTTTACATATGGGTCTTCTGTTTTTGATCACTATTTTAACTTCCGCTTTCATTGGTCTCAAGGTAAAAAAATGTCTTTCTGATTCCACTTTCTTGTCAATACTACAAACAAATTAAAGAATTATCTGATATCCTAAAAAGTTCTTGTTACAATGACAACTTATTTGGGTTATACTTACTTTTTGGAGAGATTATTATATGCATGTTCTTCTGTTTTTTAGCATAGGTCCTAATGCAAAAATCATTTCAGTTTATTTTGGTTGGCTACCGAAACCGTTCCAAATCCGTACCGAACCAAACAAGAAATACCGAACCGTACCAAACTACTTTGGTACGGTATTTGGTATGCATAATTGATTTACCGAATATCGAAGTACCGAACTGTAGTTCTTAATATTGTACCGAACGCCTACCCGTACTTGAATCCTCGCTTATTTTTCACTGACTTATTGGATGTGTGTTTTATATTTGCACATCTGAACTTGTTTCTTACAAATGGAGAGTGCATGTCAGTTTAGTTATTGGCTAAGGAGAACGAAAGTAGAAATGATGAAAGCGTAGTTTGGAAGGCCAAACGTGGTGGCGCTGGGTATTCGTGATTTCGATGATTGAGCAGCTCTGTTCAGTTCCAACGTGTGTGGGGGGGGGGGGGGGGGGATGTGATGGGAAGACATTAACCTTTTCAAATAGAATTAGGTTATTTTGAAAATATTTTAACTGTTATACCTGAATTGCCCCTTGGAGTATTAACAGGCCATTTTTCTCCGTCATGTTTCGTTAGTGATTGGGCTAGAATCACCCACTTTATTTATTAAAATTGCATAGTTGAATATCACAAGGACGGAAATTACTATTTTCCCAATTTTCCAGGAGGAAGTCATTTTCGGTCAAGAGGATGAACATGACTTCCTTTGCTCACAGAAAGAAGCTGTTAGTTTTCAAGGTTAGAAGCTTGCATGCTCAATTTCTTCCTTTTGTAATCAAAGGGAGAGATAGAACAATGAAACGATGTTTATATGGCTTCAAGCAAATGCAAGAATTGCGGGATAGAACTATTTGTATGTTTGTGGCACTTTCAAATGCTTGCATTAGGGTAGGCTATCTACATCATACCCCTAGAGGTGCGGCCCTTTTCTGAACCCTACGTGAATGCGGGATGCTTTGTGCACCGAGCTACCCTTTTTTTGTGGCACTTTCAAATGATTTGACATGTAATGGATTTTGTTCCCTTATAAAGGCAAACTTGCTGTTAACTAATTAGTTTGATGTTAGCTATCAATTAATGATTGTTTTGCACACCTCTATTAATGAATTTTTCTTATACGGTGCGGTAGATTGGAGTTTTCACCGCTAATTTGTTTGAAAAGGATATTTCTGACCTAGCACAAAAGTTCTGCTTCATCCGATGTGAATTACGGCCGAAGCACATATTATTTTCCACATAATATCAATTAGTTGAGGGTGGTTATTTTAACAAGTTAAAAATTGGATGGCTAAGTGAGATTATATCTTTCTCGGTTGATTTGGACATGTTCCCTTGAGAACAGTTTCTGTTCGATGTGAATTTTCCAGGTCCAGTAGAGTACTTCATATGCATGTTATGATGTTCATTTAGAAGCAAAGTTGTTTTTTTTTTTTTTGGATAATCGTGTTGTTCGGGCCAACGCAGGACTAATTCCATGGGGTACTTGCTACCTGGCTCCACCAGTAGAGGTACCAAGGTAATTCTATCCACTAAAGCCTGGACAGATGGGAGGAATCACGAAGTGGTTTTGCCGCTAGAATTTAAACTTGAGACCTCGTGGTTCTTAACGCATTTCATTGACCACTAAGTCACACCCTTGGATACAGAAGCAAAGTAGTTGCTAATGAAATAGTGTTGTGCCAGTTGATCTAGGATATACCTTCTTTTTCTTGGGTCTCTTATCTTCCTTCTTCTTCTCATTTTGGGACAATAATTCCATGACTTTGATTGTCATTCAATTTTTTGTGATTTTATTAAATTTCCCGAATATACATTCCTTGTATATCTTTTGTTGTGATGGACATATTTGGTTAAATGAACCCTTTTATGTTTTAGGTCTCTTAGGTGATCACTCTTATATGATTCTATCTATTTATCCATTCTCAGTTGAAATTCTCTTAAATTTTTCTGTTTTCATATTCTTAGTCACCACTCTTTATTCTTTTTGCTATTAATCTTGAATCTCCTTGTTTCTGACTGCTTTACAGGGTTTACGCATTCAGCATTTGCTTTAGGATATGAGGCGGGGATTAATAAGAGCACAATAGATGGAAATTTAGTTCCCCCTGGTGCTCTGGTTACCTTTCTACAAAAGGGAATTCAATATCTTGAATTGGAAGCAAATTTGAGCAATGTAAGTGCAAAATTCGTGATGCTTGTCATTTGAGTCCTGTGTCCAAGCTCTTCTGAGAACTTGAAACTGACTGATAATAAATAAGGCATGCAGGATGACACAGATACGGATGAAGACTTCCAGTTTTTACAACCCATTGATCTTATCACGAAGGATGTATATGAGCTGCAAAAAATAATAAAAGAAAAAAAGGAAAAGCTTCGGCAAGATAAGCCTAGGGGAAAAGACAAGGATAACAATGTCCATGAGAGGGAGCATGGACGAGAACCTGCTAGAGAAAGGGAGAAGGAAAAACAATTGAAGGAAAAAGAGCAAGATCGAGATCGAGAGAGAGAGAAAATTGAGAAGGATAAGGAGAGAGAGAAAAATAAGGACAAAGAAAAACCACGCGAGGATCCCATGGACGTGAAAGCCAATGGAGATAAAGATGTTGTCACGCATGAGGAGAATGGAAAGGCTGCTGGTATTAAATCTCAATAACTTAGTCTTTATGAACTTTACAGCTGCAAGCCATCCTGGAATATCTGAATTTTGTTAATCCCATTATAAGCATAAAATTCTTAATCACTTGACTTTCTGGAACTGCAAAACAGATCCGGAGCCAATGGAGGTTTGCACAAGCTCTACCTCGCTGCCATGTGAAATCCCGAGTTCTGATGTACTGGTTTTGGATGGGCATACATCCGAGGTATAATTAGATATAATCTGCAGCTTCTCAAATTAGTATGATTCTCAATTTTTAATGTGGTAAATTTTGTTGGTATTAGCATGACAATATTGTGTTGTTCTCAAACTTATCACAGGTCTTTGCATGTGCCTGGAGTCCAGACGGTTCACTTCTTGCATCTGGGTTAGCACATTAATATCTCTTTTGATACTGCTCTTCTGTAGGAGTCAATTGATATTTCATTTCTATACCCCTATCTCGTATTATTCGTTGAGCTTTAGCACTTTGGAAACAATCATCATTCTTTTCCAGGATAGTTGAAACTTATTGCTCTGCTTTAGAATTTATCGTTAACGTAGTCTTCTTGGGGGGAGTAGGTAACCTTGTTTATAGTCTAAACAGCAAAACACCACACCTTAGGGGTAAGGCATACTGTAGAAACAACTTAAAAGGATTTTGTCCAAGTGAGAAATATATGCCCCAGAAGTAATCACCATCTATGAGCTTAATATGATGAGGAGATGCTATCTGATCAGCAGGGCTTTCTGTTGAAAAAGGAAATAAATATATCATTGCTATCTTGAATGCAGACATGAGGAATGTGCCATATCAAGATGGTTGAAGATATTTGCAGGGACAACCATTTGTCTTCTAAGAAATCCTGCTTGACTGCATGTGCTTTTTAACATGAATGATTTGCTTTAAGTTGTACACTAAATTTGTCACTAGAATGCCAGCATTGACTGGAATGTTCGCAGTTAATAATATCAATATATAAGCAAATAATTCATTTAAAAATGAGATTGTATTACACCTAAATCTTGAACAGTGACATACTAAAAACCAAAATCTTGAACAGTGTGACATACTAAAAACCAAAATCTTGACCAGGGTAGGCTTACATCTATAGGGTCACCGGTGATAAAATTATTATTTGGATTTCCTTTTCTTATTGCTAATTATATGAAATCCTCAACTCAGGTCTGGAGATTCTACTGCTAGAATTTGGACAATTGGAGATGGTCCTTGTCATTCTCGTATGCAAAATGGGCCTGTAAATGTCATGGTATTGAAGCATTTTAAAGGTCGAACAAACGAGAAAAGCAAGGATGTCACAACACTCGAGTGGAATGTAAGTTTTTTGGAGATTATTATTGGCTTCCCTTTTTTCTTTTCTGCATGTCTTATGAATTGCCAATGCTCATGTACGTTCTTATTAGATCTTGTTTTTATGACTTCTTCCTTGTGTAGGGCGAGGGAAACCTACTAGCAACGGGTTCTTATGATGGTCAAGCTAGAATCTGGAACCGAGATGGTAGGCTATCTTGTTTTAACACTTTCTGTTTTTGACCAATGGGGTATCGGAAAATGCAATAGATAAGTTGGTATTGAAGATATTGAATGTATGAGTACACCAATGAGTGGCAGGGAAACCTACATTTTATGATCTTTTTATTTTTTTGGAGAAGTAGTAAAGTAGTTTATTGTTATAGCACCAAGAGGGTGCTACTTCACAGCATCCACAAGATACAGAATTCATCGAACCGTACTACAGTATGCATGATAACTTATATAGTTAAAACTAAAAGGCTGTAACCTTTCTGAAATTGGTAGCATTTTCATATGAAGGATCGATCTTCTTGAAATCACGTTGCTACCGTACTCCATTTCAATGCCGTTCATCCCTCATTTCTCCTTTTGTTATTCAACTTCCCTTTCTAGAGGGAAGCCTTATCAGAATCCTAATGTGCAGCTTTCAGCAAGGCCTGCAACTTTTCTCTCCTGAAGGACTATGATGCATCACGGTTTCAATTCTAAAAAGCATGTGAGAAAACCCTTTTATCATCCAACTTTCATAGAGTTTCAAACATCGATTACCTTGAAAGGGTAGCTTGAATACATACTAGCTACAGCAGCTGTCTAACTTATGCTGACTCGTTGGAAGGTAGCCTCCAGCATATCAGTTTTCAACATTGAGAGAGCTCTGAATCACCTATAAGACCAAAAAGATGATCTGCATTATGAGGAGGTTACTGGTGGTCATTGAAAGGACAGCTGCAGGTAGATACTAGCTACATCAGCTGCGTAACTTAGCTCTGGGGCCTTGGTTTAACGGCATAGGTAGCATAAGCGAGATGTGTCGTAGTTTCCGTCACAAGCTAGATTCCTACTAGGTAACCAAGTCTGGTTTTTAAGGTAGGGGACAGGCTCAGAAAAAGCATCTGCCTTATGCTACTCATTAGGAGGTAGCATCCTGCACATTAGTTTCAACTTTGAGAGAGATGTGAACCACTTTTAAGACCAGAAAGATGATTCGGATCAGGAGCTTGCGCATGCATCCAGGGGTGTGGTCTAGTGGTGAATAAAGTGGAATCAAAGTCATATAAGTCCAAGGTTTACATCGTACCAGAGGCCCAAAAAAGCTAGGTGATTTCTCCCTTCTGCCTAAGTCTTGGTGGCAAAGTTACCCTGAAAGGTAGTAGGTATCCAGTGGAATAGCGAGGTGGACGCAAGTTGATCTAGGTACCACCTTTATAAATATTAAAGAGATTACTAGAGATTAATGTGGCATTGGTAAATAGCAATATTCTTGTCAATGCCAAGTCATTTGGGCAATTGCTGGCAAGCGCTTTACTGGCTTCTTAAGGATAGTTGTGGAGGCCTCTTACAGTATGTTGCTCGGATACGGGTGTGGATCTAGAAGTCGGATTAGTCATCACCCAAATCTTAGGATTCAGAGATACAAATAGAAGTATGGGTACAAGCGTTAAGAGACAACCATTAATGTGTATTGCAACATATATAAGTGTATATTTTGAAATTTTAATCAAAGTTATTAAATCAAAGCTAGTATAATTAAATTCTTTTGTAAAACTTAATACTCCCTCCGTTCCAGTTTATGTGAACCTATTTCCTTTTTGGTCTGTTCCAAAAAGAATGACCCCTTTCTAAAGTTGGAAACAATTTAGCTTAAACTTACAATTCTACCCATAATGAGAAGCTTTTATAACCACACAAATATTTTGACTTGTTTAGGACCACAAATTCCAAAAGTCTTCATTTTTTTCTTAAACTCGATGCCTAGTCAAACAAGTTTACGTAAATTGGAACAGAGGGAGTGTTTTATTCATAAGTTACCTCATATAATAATGTGTACTTTATGTGTGCGCGTGTGTGTGTGTGTGTGTGAGAGAGAGAGACATAAACCAACTTTAAACCAAATATCCAATCAACCTATACTTCTTGTCCATAGATGTAGTCAAAGCATCTAATAGTTTGACATATATATATATATATATATATATATATANCTCTTGATGTTGATTGGCGAAACAACAATTCCTTTGCAACCTGCTCCACTGATAACATGATTTATGTTTGTAAAGTTGGAGAGAGTCGGCCTGTCAAAACTTTTTCGGGGCATCAGGTGATGCTCCAGTACTACTCCTTTTTCTTTTTGGTAGGAAAATTGTTCCATATGTGGTTATTGATTGGTTACCAATTGCCTGTAAATATTATATTGGAGCTGGTCTACTGTGCACCTCTGGGAGGTACAGGGGTGGACATATTAACTCTCTTGGGGTTTATGCTCATCACATCGTAAAATGCTCTTAAAATGTTTCAAAGCGAAAGTCTAATTGTGAACATATCGTAAAACATGTTTACCTCTGTTGCCTTCGTTGAGTACCTGATTATGAAGATACAACTTGTATTCATTGTATCTCGATGCCTGTGAGGTTGTAACTTGTAGTTGTAGGTACACAGATGGTAGTGAGAGGCTAAAGAATCTTTTGACCCCTTTCTCTGGCCATGAAAACTAATGGTTTGACTGCATGATGATTTCTCAAGCATTTGCATTATCAAGCAACTGTGCACGACAATTGCTCGGACATTCGTTTCTTTTTCATCTTTTTGGAATTTCACCCTATAAGTTGAAAGTTGTAGTTCTAATTTTGTGTTCTAGATCATACCAACTATTTTGTGATAAGTCCCATTCAGATGCAAAACTTTAGCATGATAAATACAACAGCAGCCTAGTGTAATCCCACAAGTACAATTATGCTGTCTTCTTTTTATGAGCGTTACTAAAAGATCTTATCTTTGTGATTGCAGAGTGAAGTCAATGCAATCAAGTGGGACCCCTCAGGCTCCTTGTTGGCATCGTGCTCTGATGACACCACGGCTAAGGTAATTGCTAACATTCTCTTTGCTAACATAGTCATTACAGATTAGCTGATACAAATGCATACTATTCCTTCTGATAATTCTGCTCCTGTCAGTTATTTCTCTCTTGGGAGGTCCTGATTGATAGAACATATTCAAATAGTTGTGTGAAGTCTTGCATCTGTAAACAAATGCATGCTTAACTAGATCTTGCAAAGAACGTGATAAATTTGTTTTCTGATAATCAATAAGCTTTAAATATCACCTTTAACCTCTTACAACTGCGCCTCAATCCAAGACTAGTTGGCTGCTCCATTTTGGGCCTGTTTCTCTCCACTACTCATTTTGTTTTTTAGGACAAATTAATTCTGTAAAACTTGCATATGTCGCCGTACACCCTTAACCTCTGATGGAAAAAAAGAAAGAAAGAAAGAATGTGTGGTGCTTAACCTCTTTAATGAAAAAACCTAGATTCTTGAATACTAAATCAGTAACCCTAAGCTAGTTAAAAAAATTCTAGTTCAAACACATTCCAGAACTCCAGATTCTGATTAATTAGAAATAATTGGTAATCGAGGAAGAGACTAAGTGAAAGTTGATTTATAGATTCACTTCCTTTAAGATAGTACAAATATGTTGTTTCGAAGAATCACCTTCAATTGATGCTCTGTGAAATTGGTCGATAACTCTCGTCTGTTGTGCAGATATGGAGCGTGAAACAAGATGCCTGCGTGCATGATTTCAAAGAACATGCCAAGGTGCAGCATTTAAGTTTATATACATATACTGAGAACTTTGAATATGTTGTTTCTCTTTTCCTGTTTTTGTTTTATTCGCTTTATCAGATCAGACATCAGTGTTTTTACAGTATTAATTTTTTAGGAGATCTATACCATCAGATGGAGTCCAACAGGCCCTGGTACGAGCAACCCAAATCAACAGTTGTTGCTGGCCAGGTAAATACTCTGCACCATTACATTGAGGGTAAGAAAGTAGGTTACGATCCTACCTATTGCCACAGGTCATACGGTGGATGACCTGCTGCTTCTACCATAATGGTCTGGCACGTGGTGGTAACTCAAGGCTCTTGTTTCTATCAGATCTAGTTCTATTATTCTATCATAATTGATGTGGTAAAGGTCTAAGGGATGATAGTTTTATATGTGGACTTGGTTTTGGTGATCTATAGAAACTAACAAAGTGACAATTATTGCTTGAAGCGTCTTTCCTCCTCCTCCTGTCGTACGTTGTTTTTGCTCATCCATGGCAAAAACAATGTATCACACTATCACTTTACCATTTGACGCTTGTATTCCTCTCAATGCTTTAATGGTGAAGATGGCGATCCAAACAGTTAAGCCAACCCTCTCGTCTTTGACATAGCCTTCGAATTAAGACCAATCCTACTCTTATTTTTCCACTCCTTAAAAGGCAATTATTTAGTATTGGAATGAAATGTGCCAGAATAAATAGGAATGAATACAAAAGATTCAGATAGCCGACCCTGACTAGTTTGGGATTGAAGTGTACTTGATTGATTGACTAACTTTTTTTAAAAAAAAAGTTGGGGAGGTTGAGAGGTAGCTTCCCCCTAATTCTATCTACACTTCTTATATTTCATAGAGCTACAATATCTCCAGAGACATGATCTGTGCACATCAGGAATTCTGCTGTTGGTTCCTATTATTTCCTTACAAGTGCTGCCCTGTAATTTAAGATCAATATGTCCTCATTTAGTGACATTTTTAACATTAGCTAAGAAATAACTTACGTTTGTCAAGTGTGCTTGATGTGCTATAATCCTTCACCTCCCGGGGATAATCTGGGCATCAGACAATGAATACCTTATTTTGTTGTACTTAAATCTTATAATTCTTATGATTTGATGTGCCTATTCTTTTATCCTATAATTATTATAATTTTATGTGCCTATTCTTTTTTGCTGAACTTTTAATTTCCTCTGTAGTGCCTCTTTTGACTCCACAGTGAAGCTATGGGATGTAGAACTTGGCCGTCTCCTTCACAGTCTGAATGGCCATAGGTAATGGCTGTAATTATGCAGTTGCTTTTTATGTCTTTCGGGAGAAAAGGTGTTGAGGTGATTGAACCTTCTAAAAAGTCTCATAGAAGAAGTCATTGCTGCTTAATAAAAGCAGTTATTAGTATCATCATTAGCAAAGATAGTTGTTAACTAGTGGGACAAAAATAAACTCCTGCACTGTGGTGATTTTCTCCTTTTGCTTGGTTGAACTATTGATTTCTTTTTGTGGTTGGTTATGTTTTATTACTAATGTTGAATCATCATTGCTATTGCTACTACTTGTTACTAATATTTATTTTTTACGAGTGCTTCAAGGGATAGAGTGAAAGATAAAGCTAGACATAGTTTCTTTCGTATACATCTTTAAATATTTCTTTTGTTCTTGTTATGCGACTGGATTTTTGTTAGTACTTATTTTGGGGCTTTTTCCATTTTAAACACAGGGATCCCGTTTATTCTGTTGCATTTAGCCCAAACAGCGAGTACTTGGCAACCGGGTCATTGGATAGATGCTTGAACATATGGTCTGTGAAAGAGGCCAAGATCATAAAAACTTACAGTGGAAATGGTGGAATCTTTGAAGTGTGCTGGAACAAGGAAGGCAACAAGGTTGCAGCTTGTTTTGCGGACAATGTGGTCTGTGTCTTTGATGTTCGGATATAGATGTTGTGAAACAAACAGGAAAAGGTGATGTTGAAGATGGACGAGATCGTTTAAGCACTTGTAACAAGTAATACCTTAACTTGTGACAGAAATCTGCTTGGACGTATGTACAATTGTAGGACAACTAAAATATTCAACAAGTCATATTTGGAGCACATTGTAGATAGTGCAGATAGTATCATGGCATTGACTTAGTTTTAGGTTTTGGCAGAGCTGAAACTGTAATTACCGACTGTTGCACTGCGTTGAAGTGAGGAAGCTGCAGTGGCAGTGACCGCGCTGTCATGATTTATTTGTTGCTCAAATGCTGACATTTAGTTGCTTAATTTTATTGTTTTCCCCAGTATCTGGTTGATGTTCTTACTGCTACTTCCCATCCTCTATTGCAAACTCTGTATTGACTATGAGACTCGGCTAAAATAGTACAGGCACTCATACAACATACTGCGGTTTGGTATTTGAGAACAGAATAGAGAAGTTTAATTCAAAATTCTAAAATATTTCTATTGAAAAGTAGGTTTTTTTTCTTTCTTAATAATTAATTAATAAAACAATGTGCCTTCTAAACAAAAATAAAATCACAAGAAAATATGATGTCGGCGTGTGTAAAAATCCCCAAGCCATGAAATTGGTTAAATATGTTTTGAGATGGTATTAGCTCCACTTCAAACAAAATAGGGGGTAATAAGTCACCCGTAAAACTAAAGTTTATAGGGCAAAATAGTCAAATATATCCTTGTACTTTACAAAAATGTCTAGATATATCCTCTGTTTAAAATTTGGCTCAATAGTGTTATTGCCGTTAATCTTTAGGGCTAAAATTACCCCTAGTCAGTAACGTGGTTTCCGGTTAACACTAATTAGTCCCAAAGTGTGCTAATTAGCACCAATTAGCCACATGGCCTTTTGTCAAACTCTCCCTCTATTTCATTTTTATTTTTCTCTTTAGCAAAAACCTTACCTCTTGTCTCCCGTTTCCTCTATGGAAATATCAAAAATCCTTATAGACAAGATTTGATTCAATGATTAATACAGGTATTAGAATACATATTTATGGTATGAAAAGAGGAAAGTAGAATGAGGGAAGAATGTTTTCATACGAAAGAAGTCATTGTGTTGGATAAGTTTATGTAATTATTCTTAAATTTTTCATTTTCAATTATATAAATTTTTGTGAAGAAATTGGTATATTTATTTGGTGGGTTTCTAAGATAATTGTAATTTGCCAAAGTTCTCTTTTCTTTTTTATGAAAGAAACTTATTCAATACTTTGTTGGGTTTGTTAGTTTATTGTAACTGTCTTAAATTAATTTTTCTTTATGAAGAAATGGTTCAAGAATTTGTTGGGTTTGTAAAAAAGTTAAGATTAATGGAAGAGAGATGTTGGAACATCGCCTACAATGGCAGCTGCTTCTCTGAAATAGAATATATGGCAATGGAAATTTCATTCCAAGCTATTGAGAAACCAGCTATGGCAGTGATGAAGGGAAAGGGAAGTCCTCTATGGAGGAAGGGAGATAACTGATTTGGTAAAAATAAGAAAGATGTTCCTAGGAGAGTTAAAGAGTTTGGATTAAAAATTAAAAACTAAAATTAAGCCATATGGCAGTCATAGACGTTAACCCAATTGATTAGAGGCTAATTAGTCTTTAATAGTGAACGGTTAGTGACTAGGGTTATTTTTAGCCCTAAAGTTTAACGGCAAGGGTATTATTGTGCCAAACTTTAAAAGGAGTTCAGGGGTATATTTAGCCCCCTTTTCCCAAGCTTATAAATAACTTTTCCAGACAAGTTTAGGGTGTAATGTTCAGTGTGTTTCCTTTTGGAGCTGTATTACTTTTCGAAACAAGTTCCTTGACTTAGACAAGGCATTTTGTCCAGTTTAGAACATATAGATTCCTAATGTCACATGGTATCAACAATATGCAGTTTCAATATGAAGGATCAAATATTTCAAGCTATGTAGTTTGAAACATATAGATTCACCCAAGAAACATGTAAAATTTACACCCATCATAAGATCACAACAAATTAGAGTTCTCTGCCAGTTTAGTAACATTATCATCCTCATTGGATTATTTCAAAATATAATTATAACAGTATCTACTAGTTGTCCATACTATTATGTAGATGAACAAAATGATATAATTGGGCAATCTATTCTTTCATCTGAAGCTATTCAGGCTTTTTACATGACTGATTTCTCTGTATCGAATACTACCAAACATCATCCCTGGAATACAAGACTTGTAAATGGAATCAATAACTTCACAATCAATTCAATGGATCTGTTTCTAACCAAGCTACAAAATCTATCAAACTTATCTTACTGACTACCAGTTAGTAATCCTAACACCAGATACATCTGAGGACTGCAAAATCTACTAAAACAAGCATCCTTAAAACACCATTAGCCAAGTTTTCCAGCTTAAGCAAAACCAAGAACACTGTCTACTCCTTCCTATTGTATGTCCTAGCAGAAGCCTAATTTACAATTGTCTTGTATCTTCAAAGAATGAAGCTGGTATTTCCACTGGAGAGGTCAATGATGACACACATTTAAACTGTAACAAGTAAATCACAGGTCAAGTTAGATAACCAAATTAAACAAAGCATCTACAACAATATGACCAATGACCAACTTAGATTAATACCTTATGCTGCTTATATTTGTCCCTCACAGCCACCAAAGAGCCTCCTCTTCTACTTAATTGCAAGTCGTGTAAGATAAGAACACATTCCTTCAAATCTGCTGCTTTATATCCCGAATATTGTTCAAGAGCCAAACTCCAAGGATGTGTATTAGGTTGTAGTGTAAACCTCGAAAGGAATACCACGGCAGCAGCCAGCAAAGAAGGTAAGTATTTCACACAGCTATAATCCAATATGCTTAACTCCGCTAGGCAATAGCCTAAGAACTCCAACTGCAAATTAGGGCTTTTATAATCTTCTTGAGCAACCCCAGTAAATCTTCTGAGAAATGTTTTCACTGTAGGATTTCCCATCTCAAAATTGAGTGTTTTAAGCACATCAGCTTCCATTTTCACCACCTCTTCCTTAGTATATGTATTGTCCGTTATGTAACAAAAATCTTCAACATGTGGTGGACTAATCTCCTCATACTTCCTGTAAATTACCAAATCAGAACACTCATTAGCAAATTCATAAAACAATCAAATTTCCATGAGTTAAATACAATGCAAAACTAAGATACATACGCAGAAATGAGCATTGACGAAACACCTAAAAGCTGTAGCTTTTGCCTGGTGATGAAATTCGTTGATAAGAATCTATCGATGTAGGAAACAGCAAGATACAAAGTGTCTGAAAGTAGCTTGTATTCCTCTGCAACTTCCACTAGCCAATCAACTAATACCCCTCTCATGTTTGCACTCAAATCCTTCTGAACTTTCTCTAAGTAATCAGGCAAAGGTCTCCTCTTTTCCTCAATCTGAACACAAAACCACCAAATTTGTCAAAACCCAAATTCCAACAACATAACAACACTAAACACAACACCCAGCACCATTATAGATCTAAAAGCCAATATTCTAATAATTCATAAAGTAACCACATTTCAATCTCCGAGATCCTATTTTCAAACCTGTATATTTTTTGCAAAATAAGGCAGAAGAAACCAAATCAATTTCTTATAAGTCACTGAACAACAACAATAACAATAACCACACCTCAATCCCAATATACATGGTTTGCTATATAAACCCTCACTTTCAAATTAGTTTTTTTTGGTAGGGATGATTATATTAGCAACTAAATTGAGATAGGTACATCATCAGAGGGGTGTACAGTATCCCCTAAGTACTGCATTACTGATCCCAAACAAGTCGGGTCAGCTATATGAGACATAATTAATCAAATGCAAAAATATAATAACAATGTCAAGTAAAATAAGAGTTCAATTTAATTCAAAGAAAAATGAACTAACCTCCATTTTACGAAGATAATCATATATATCAGAAACATAAGCACTACACATCTGAGGGTCATCGTAATTAGCATCAACATTATCCACATTCAACTCCTCCTTAACAATTTTACTAGTCACGGCCTTTTTCAGTTTCCTCTTAGATTGCTGCTGCTTCGATTTGGGTTTTTTAGGCTGAGTGTCCAAACCCTTAATTTGACTCACACCCACATTAGAAAAATTCTGAATCTCACCCAAAACAACCCGTTTCTTACTAGGCTGTTGTTGTTGCTGTGAGGCCATAGCTTCTGCTGCTCTTTTCTTGGCTAGCCGTGTAACTCTGCCACAATTTTCTAAATCCGCCATTATTGCCTCTTTCTCTTGCTTCTTCATATGTAGTTACAAGAACTACTCTAACTAAGAAAGCAAGAGAAAAATAGTTGAATTGAAGATTTGACGAACCGGGGAGGAAAGAAATGAGAGGTTTATTGGGTTTATAAGCCGCCAATATGTTTGAGTGTTTTGGATTTTGGGGGCTGTTTCAAAATTCGAAGTTTGATAAAATTTGGGTGGTTTTCCCTCCCACCCACTCCCCCGGCTGATACTAAACAGTGCAAAATGTATCAATTTTACAACTGTTTACTCTATTTGTGTTTCTATATCTAAAACAAAACAAAACCCGCCCGCGCCCCAACAGGACTCAACCGCGCTAATTTCCTTTTTAAGATTTTCAAATGAAATAACTTTACTCCTGTCTTTCTTCCGGTAACGCTTCTTTTAAGCATATTCGAGGTAGTCATTAGCTTTATAGGAGTAACTTGTTTGGCCAATTTTTTTGATGTTCTTAATTTTTGAGGGAAAAAATTATTATTTTAGAGAGTTAGGATGTTTGACCAACTTTTTAAGAAAAAGGAAGTGATCTTCGGGGCCCATATGACCATAAAAAAAATCGACTTTTCGGGAAAATTTTCATTTTTTTTTCGAAATTGTTTGTTCATGAAAATTTGAGATTTCACTTGAAATTAAATTTTGGAATTTTTCAAAAATTTGAAAAACTCCAAAAAATTATTTTTTAAAATTTTCATTTCACATCACTCACAAAAATTTACAAATAGCTCCAAATTGTATTCATGTCCAAACACACTCTAATTTTCAAATATCATTTTTACTTGGAAAAATAAAATCACTTTTTCCTTGAATTTTGCAATTCTTATGTCCAAACGCCCACTTCGAGTCTATTTGGCCAAATTTTCAAAATCTACTTATTTTGAAAAGTATTTTGTAAAATAGAAATTCGGTAAAAAAATATTTATGAATAATTGCATCTTGTGTTTAGCCAAATCAAAGTGCTTTTGTTAGTTTTATACAAACAGTTTTTGTTAGATCAAGCTTTTCAATAGGCGATTTTGAGTGCAAATTAC